TCGGTCCACCCGTCAGCACCCGCGATCGCCTTCGTCACCAGCACGTCCCGCTGATCTCGCCTCCGGACGAGGACATAGTCCAGCAGGTGCCACTGACGCGACCGAGGATGCCTCCAGGTGGCCTTTTCTCGCTCCGGCAGACAGAAGAACGTGTTCGTCAGGATGAGGCGGTGTTCTGCGCAGGTGCGGAGGAGAAGCAGGCCATTGTCGTTGGAGCCGCGGAGACCGTGAGGACCCAGCACGCCCCTCCAGGCAGTATGGTCTGTGCCGACGCGGGCGTTGAAGTCGCCAAGGACAATCAACTTGTCAGCCTTCGACACAGTCGCCAAGAGGGCGTGCAGGTCCTCGTAGAATTTGTCTCTGACGGCGTCGGAACTGGTCATCGGCGGAGCGTAGGCGCTGATGATGGTGGCGAACTTGCCTCCTCGCCGGAGAGGCAGACGGAGGCCCATTAGGCGGTCGTTGATTCCCTGCGGCAAGCAGGGTAGTCGTCCCACGATGTCGGTCCGGATGGCAAAGGCGACACCCGCGTCTCGTCGCTCTGCCTTGGGTCGACCACTCCAGAAGAAGGTGTAGCCGGCACCCACCTCCTCCAGTTGGCCTTGTTCGGAGAATCGGGTCTCGCTGAGTGCGGCGATGTCCACCTTGTAGCGCGCCAGTTCTCGTGCCACTAGCGCCGTCCTCCGTTCCGGTCGGTTGCTCCTCGGATTGTCTAAAAGGGAACGAACATTCCAGGCTGCCAGAGTGAGCGGGCTCACCCTGTCAGTCTGGGGAAAACGAGTGGGGTGACGGGAAGGAGGTGGAGAAGAAGATGACGAAGGAGGAGAATAGGCAGAAGAATAGAAGAGGTAGGATGAGGAGAAGGAGTATGGTTGTTGTAATTGGTATTGTTGTTGTTTCGATTTTGATTGTTTCGACCGTGTTGATGGCATCTGCGGCCTTGGCTGGCCTGCAGACGGCGTGGTGCCCAGCATTTTTTAGACCACCTTTTCTAGGCCCTTCCCCTCGCGGGGGCAGGCAGTGCCGTCCCTGAATCGGGCTGCCCATGTGCCTGGTTGGCGCGACCGAATCCCACTATGGGGCCACGACTTTTATGTTCGTAGTGGAGAACGACCGCATTTGCCGTGAGTCCACGGTCTCCGTCGGCGGGGGTGGGCGCGTCTCAGCGAAGGCGATGCAGAGACCCGTCCCGGCAGCAGTTATCCAACGGCGTACCAGGCAGAGCCTCGTCTCGACGATGCCGGCGCAGTGTTTCATCCGACCATCCATCCGGCGGAGTCCGCGGTACGCTGTGCACTCGGCACAAGTGCACAGCGCCCTCACCTGGTTTAGCCCGCCGGTCGAGACGGTTGCCCGGGGTGTGGCCGCTGAGCAGAGCCCAGCTACGTGGAGCCACAGGTGAGAGTTGGGTGCCAGTAAATGGACGCAAATCACAACTTCGCCCGGTCCGCAACGCCGCCGCACAACCGCTCCCAACGTGTCCTCGATGTCAACGGACATTCCGGGCATGAATCGGACTTGTTGGACATCTCCGAACCAACTGCACCTCTCGAACTGCTCCAGCCATCGTCTCCCCGCCCGCCTCTTCCTCGTCCTCTCTTCCGCCAACTAACTCTGACACTCCTTCTGCATCACCACTTCCATCCTCCTCCTTCTCCTCCACTGCCCCAGCGGCGGCCGTTCAGACTGCCGTCTCACACATCACCAACCCCAACACAACAACCGACATCACCTCTCCCACCTCTCCCGATACCACTGATGAGGATCAGGACTACACCTGCCCTCACTGTGACCGCACCTTCACCTCACACATCGGCCTGGTCGGTCACTTGCGAATCCATCGCACAGAGACTGGCGAACCAGTGCCTGGAGCACCAACCTACACCCACCGCACTCGACTCCACTGCCCACACTGCCCTCGCACCTTCCGGCATCGCATGGGCCTATTCGGCCACATGCGCATCCACGAGAGCGGAATTGACCGCAGCCTTGACACACCCACCCCGCCAAGCCCCACTACCAATCCACCACCTTGTGTACCCACTAACCACTCCCCAACCGACATCGACGCCTCCGGCCTTACCACCTCCCACTCCTCCCCTTCCTCCTCTTCCTCCATCACTGCCACAACGACGACCGCTTCGGCGTCTGTCGCCCACGACTTCACCACAGCCGAACCTGGCACAACAACCGGCACAAAACCTGCAACCTCCATCATCAGACGTGAGGGCCAGGACTACATCTGCCCTCACTGCGATCGCACCTTCACTTCACGCATCGGCCTGGTCGGTCACTTGCGAATCCATCGCACAGAGACTGGCGAACCAGTGCCTGGAGCACCAACCTACACCCACCGCACTCGCCTCCACTGCCCACACTGCCCTCGCACCTTCACGCATCGCATGGGTCTATTCGGCCACATGCGCATCCACGACGACCTGCGGTAGACAACCGCCGGTCACACCACACATTCCCTCACTCCCTACCTCCTAACACCACCACCCCACCAGACATCAACCCTCACACACCTCATGCACCCAACTGCCACCTCCCACGCAAGTGGGAAGTGTGCATCTCGACTCGGTCCCCATGCGGTTTCGGCTGCACGGGTGACTTGTGTCCAAGACTATCCCGACACGTCAAGTGTCGTGGATAGGAAGGTTGCTGATTAAGGCCCGCTCTCGGTTCACGCAGTTCGTCACGTTGTGTGTGTGTTGTGTGTAGTGGCGGACTGGTGGGCTGGGTACGGGCTGCAGCAGCACCTTCCACGGCCCTCTCACGCAAGTGAGAGACACGCCGTTCAACCCCCGTTGTGTGAAATCCTGGTGTTTGTGTGTGTATGGGGGGCCAGGTCGTGCTGTGGCGCGCGCAGTCATGGTCAGTCGAACATGTCAGCCACCGCGCCCATTCCCCACTCCAGTCTGCTGACCGGCTCGGACAGTGGCTGGGGTGTGGGAGTGGGAAGGGAGAGTGAGGTCGACGACTCAGCGCATTTTCCTCACTATAATCAACCTGACGCGCTTGAAGCTATCACGGTGCGCTAAAAGCCGTGGCTTGGAAGGTTGCCAACTGACGGGGTACCTTGGACCTCCTCCTTCACGGGAGGCGGTCTGAGAGTCAGGCTGCAATGGCTCCTTTTTAATGTGGCCTTTATGGCATTCCCACCACAGTGTGGGATCCGAGCCAGGCGTTGGCGGCACGCCCAGGTGCGGCTTCGGCCGTGCCAGCCTCCAAATCTCTGTTGTGTTGATTGAAATCCTGGTCATTGTTGTGTGGACCAGGGGGTGTGGTGGAACGCCAAGGTGAGGATCCGTCCGAGCCATCCACCTGCGGCCTCCCTCGTCTCCGGTCTTCTTGACTCTGTCTTGACACCGGGCCCTGGCGGGGGAGGAGGAGAGAGTGCAGGTAGATGCAGCGCAAGTCTACCCGCACTATAAACCCCTGCGCAAGTCACCGTCCCTGCTCCCACCGCTGCTGCAGCTGTGGGGCACACGGTGGTCATCGTCGAAATCGACGGACGAACTGTCGATGTATGTATGTATGTATGTATGTATGTATGTATGTATGTATGTATGTATGTATGCATTAGGATATACAAGGAAGTAATCCTGCGGACGATGCTTTATGGGGCAGAGACTTAGACGATGTACAAGAAGCAGGTGTGAAGACTCAGTCACTTCCACCTAAGCTGTCTTGGGCGGATATTTAGGTTAAAGTGACAGGACTGGATTGCCGATACGGATGTGCTAGAACGGATGGGAATCCTTCGCATTTGCGTCAAGCTGGGACAGCTGCATCTGCGCTGGCGCGGCCACCTCATGCTTACGGACGACGAGCGGCGACCAAGCGATTCTTCTACGGAGGTGTCGTCACGGGCTTCCGCCATCAAGGGAGCCAAGTAAGTCGGTAAAAAGACACTCTGAAGACTTCCCTGAAAATCAACTCAGCCAACGGGGAAGACCTTGCGCGAGACCGACCTGTCTGGAAGAGGAATGTGAAGACAGGCGATATACGAGGCCAAACGCATCACCGCCGACAAGTAAAACGCCGGAGCTAACAAATCTTTACTGCGCCCACCTCGCAACACCAACGCCCTACCGCCCCCGACCTGCCCACTTTGTCATCGGACGTCTCGGACACTAGTCGGCCTTATAGGACATGTCCGCACCCGCTGCAGTACCCGGACTGCATAAGCCACTCTTCCCGTCAAAATCGGCCTCACCCCCATGCCGAAAACTAACACAAACCGTACTCCCGAGTCCCACTACCATACTCCTCCTCCTCCTCCCACTCTCCTTCTTCTTTTTCCTCCCCATCCCCAATTCATCCATTGCCTCAACATCCGCTACGGCGGCTCCTGTTTCCACCACAACTGCACACAATCTTGACAAACTGACAAACACCAGCCTGCCCACAATCAACGCTAGCGATGTGGACTCGATCCATGCCTGTTCTCATTAGAACCGCACCTTCACCTCACACATCTGACTTGTCGATCACTTGCGAATCCATCGAACAGAGACTGGCGAACCAATGCCCGGAGCGCCAACATACAGCAGACGCATCAGCCTTAACAGCATCTTTCTCAGGCTCTGATGCGCTTGCTTTCGACATCTATAGTATGATACTTTGTTGGTATCAGTTCTATTGTTTGCGCAAATTGCTTGCAGTGCTATGTTTTAAGACAGTAGGTTTTCAGTTACTTCATAGTTGTTCACCGACTTCGTCGACGACGGGTACGACTACGGGCCTATACAGCGGTGCCATTTGCTTCCGGACCCCGTATTGGCCTCAGACCTACATAACTGTAGTAGCCTACAGCAAGCCGACATTAGGTTGTGTCCATTAATCCAATGTTTAACATACCAGACATTGGTTTACCTATGGGTCGTCTATGAGGTTGCAGTCTTGACTTCACCATGCGTATGACACACCAGTGGTCCACCCAAACTATGCGCCATACACCGCCTTAATCTCATCACACTGGTCGCGTCTGCGAACAAGGACGTAAGCGGGCAGATGCGGGTGACGCGAATGAGGGTGCATTTATGTCGTCTACTCAGGTCAGGAATTCGAAAAATACGCTGGTTCAGTAAAGTTGTCATCAGTGTAGGCACAAGAAGGGGGTCATCGTTTTCCCAACAACCGTTCTTATGAAGACTTGGCAATCCCTCACAGATAAGGTGACCCGTGTCCGCCATGACGCTGAAGTCGTCAGAGGAAA